GGACACGACCTCCAAAACTACACTACGAAAAATTGTAAAAAATTGTAATTGAGTTTTAAATTTAATATAATTTTACACCTGATGATGGTTTAATAAAACCGAAACATGTTGTAACTGTTCCAATTGTAAATAGATTATTCGATATGGAACACAGAATGATATTTTAATTATTTTAATTATCTTATTTTAAATACATTGTAAATTTGACGGAAAACCAAATAATTAATTGTATTGTTATGTTTAATAATATAATTCTATTTAATAATGTGAAGCACTTTTCTGTTAAACTGTATGTTAGTAGTTTTCTTGTTTCTTCTTCACAGCAGTATTTTTGGGTTATAAATTTATCATTTGCCCCCCCTCGCAAAAGAAAGTTTTACGTTCCCCTGGGGGGATCGCTACTGCTACTTTGGGAGATGCTTCATCAGAGGCGTGGAGCGTCTTCATAGTTAGGCATAGCTTCAGAACCGGCGACGTACCTATATATATATATATATATATATATAATATAATGAAATTTATGGTCAATGCTCAAAATTATAATTTAGAACAGAAAATGCACGCGAATATAATGAAGACATCTCGACTACACAACAGACAAAATTGACTCCCAATTCCTAAAGAATCTTAGATAATCACATGTAAATTTAAACTTATTTAACCCATTTATATAAATATTAGATATATTCTAAAGCTGTACATTTTTATGTGATCCACTCATACAAAAACCCGCCTTTTAAAAAACTTTTAAAAGAAATCAGTCAAATTTTAGCTAAGTATCGACTACACATTACAGTATGAACATACAAAATTATTTTGAAGCAATTTTACAATACGTTTATCAAAAGATTAAATAATTATGTTCAGTGATATAAATTACACACTAATAAGATTAGGACATATAATACATAATTCTGTCCTAGTCTCAAAATTCTCAATATAGATATCAAATAGGTATATTTTAAATTCAGCTTCTCTCTTTATAGCCGTAATTAAATGTAACATTTATACGGACATTTCACAGTCACTCCACAAATTGAACCTCAATTAGACCAGTCGTTTGTTATTTTACCATTTCTGGTGTGGAGTAAGTAGTTAATCGGAGTACAGACGTTTTAGTATCTTTTTTTTGGTTTTATAGCGATGTGAACGATAAGCAGAACGGTAAGATATGATACAGTTTTTTGCGCTGTACAATTGAATTTCCTCGAAGTCGTCAGCATCTTTGTAGTGCATAGTTTTCTTTAAAAAACACTAAGAAAAATCCCGTATATTTTTAAATTTCAAATTAATGCATCAACCTGAACGTTAATGTTTAAAACAAGTCGGAGGAGCTATAAATGATTGTACATGTAATTAATCACCAACATCAGTGAAGGGCACATCTTAACTTAAACACTTTTCATACTAAGTTGAAAACAATAAAAATTAATAAATAACTTTATTTAAAAAAAAACATTGTAACTTATTTATTTATATTGTAAATTTGATCGCTAACTTCACTTTCCACAGATCGAGATTGTTTTGTGCCAATCAAAATTTTTTCCGACGGACATACTATAAGCCTATAAAGGGCATTGAAGGGTTAGGTAGCTCTCAAATGACTTAAGTTCCCTCTTAAATGAATGGTACTGTAACTAAAAAGACTATAAAAATGACGCCATCATAATTGAAAAACTTACGTAATGTGAGTCATGTTGTGTGACGTAGCGTTTTTCACAAATAAAAGTGAAATCATTTTGAATACAAAACTGGTATTGAAAAATCAAGATTGGAATTTTTGTTTTCCTTTGGACTGAAGAACCAGACAGCAAAATCTGCACAGAGAATTAATTTATTGCTAACTGAACTACGTAATTCTACGAAAAATTAAATATGAGATTAAAGAACTGACAATTCATTTGATATCCTCTGCTTTTTACGTTAATTAACCTTTCTTTGTTTTAATTCCCTGAATCTGAAATGTAAGATATTAGATACCTACGGAATTGTGATTCTGAAATATACATTTCTTTTTCAGTTTTCTGAAACAGTGGAGGAAGTCCCAGACGAGACTCCGAAAGAGGAAGGCGACACAATTAATTCTTTCCAGTCTTGCTTAATCATTCACTTTTCATAGTTTACGCATCTCAGTGCTTTCCAATTTCAATACATCACACAATTTTCTATATACACAATTAGCGATTAACAAACTCCCTTTAGCACAAGTCTTGAAAATACGACATTCTCTCCCGTCATTTGTGCGTCGATATGTGAAGCACGCGTTAACTTGGTTAACGCTTTAGTCTAATTCAACATATTTTTTGCGTTACAAATACAATGCTACGTTAACAACATAAATAAGCCATTATATCAACAGCTGTACAAAAATTGTCAGGACAAGATGTCTTGGTCCAGATTTCTAAAGTCTTTCTACGTTTTAATTTTGGAAGTTGTCTATTTGTGAACAGTGTTGACTGAGCTTTCAAACTGTGTAACTTAATATTTTATACAAATAAAGATGGCTGTCTTCTGAGCTGTGTATTGTGGCAAACGTTTATGACTTCTCAGAGATTACCTGCTGCCTCCATCATTAGGGTAATCATTCTGATGATGGATGTAGCACGAACCTCTAAAATATTATTAAAATTCTACCAGACTGTTGGATTCTGACGATGGTATGATACAGAGTTACTGGGTTTTTCAAGTTTGTCCATCGTCCAAGGTTAAAATGCACACGATATTTCGAAAAAAGGGTACGTTTTCGTCTTCGGGTGTATGGGGCAGGACACCTACTCTGTTGAGTCTGATAAAAAGAGCTAGTCTGAATCACTGGTCGAGTTATTTCCTATTTTTAACCACTGAGTTAAGTTCCAGAAATACGAAACTGTGTAACTGAGACTTAGAGGAGTTTTTCACTTTTATTTAAGAGCCGTCAAGGTTCAAATTTAAAAGGAAGGATTCAGAATTGAAAAATCCAATGTCCGATATTAACGTTTTCTCTCAAACCATTCTTAAACGTGTGTCTCGTAAGTCTTTGAAGCTGAAGGCAATCTAATATTTAAGAATTCAGCCCATTTCACAAATAAAAGACAACCCAAAAGCCTTACAAAGATCAATCAGTTAATGCTGTTTAAGTAAATAATCACTATTTATTCTGAGAATCATATGAAATCGACGATATACTTTATATACAAAATGCAGAATTATAATGAGCTAATAATTTACCCTTGTTAAAATTTTCATATAAAATCTGGTATAAACACCAGCAAATTACTACTTTGATCCAATATTTTTTTTTTGGCAAACAAACGTCAGTTAATTCATCACTGTTCACAAAATATCTGTATATCAATTCTAACCAAAGGTATTCCAAAAATATTTTAAAAATGACAGCTCTCATAAACACATAAAAATCACATATTACAAGTTACATATTTCCAAATATAAAGCACTCAAGACACACACACATATATTTTATATCCAACAGAACATTTACAGTTCCTCTCGATAATATTTACGGACTTACGCACGCTCTCGAGCAGAACGGAAGATACTGTTCACATTTGTATTCAATCAGTTCTTGAGGTCTTGTAACGCGGGACCACCATGCACCAGGTACATTGATTCGATTCAGTTACGGGTTAGTATTCTCATTACGCCAAACGTTAATCATAATCCAGTGATTTCATATTACACTGCAAATTTCAGCTACTTGAATGTGTTAGAGAAATGGACACGAGGTTGAAGCTTTCCGTCTTCTGGGTTGTTGCGCCGTGTAGTCTGGTCGATGTCCACCGACGTTTCAGAGGTCATACTGCCTCCGTCATCAGGGCGATTCATCTACCCGACTCAACAACCCAGAAGACAGAAATCTTCACAATCACCGCTGTGAAAACCTCAAATCTGACAAGAGGTTAGTTCCATCTTTCAATGCGACAGAAATTATAAGATTAAAACAGGGCAAAGAAACCTATCGACAAGCAGAGCATCTTTTAAATTTAAATGAAAGAAACCTGGCTGACATAGATTCAGTTAACAACCATTAAAACAAAATATAATTTAAACCTTTACATGCTAGACATCCGATACCTCACTTGAAAACTCTAAACCCTGTGAGATCTTATAGTCGGCGCAGTGATTTTTGGCCGGTGTAGCTGGCGGACGGGCCTACTCTGTGTACCTGAGGTGGCACGGTCAACGTATTTCTTTTGTTTGGGCGTTCAGTCCGATAAGCTCCTCGGTGCAGTCAGCATTATACTATCGCACAAGAGACTCGCTCCTAGCGTTCCCCTTGAAAATTCCACCGGCCAAAAACTACTGCGCGGAATATACCTGTCAGTGAAAGAATGTATTATACCTCGCCATCTGTTGGCAATCATACCTTTTTTAATATAAAAATATATATATGATATGATGAAATATTCTAATAGATTTCTTTAAACTAAATTCAGCACTGAAAAGCGTCAATTTAGGTATCACTTGCTTGTAATGAAATTTAAATATGTGCAGTACCAAACTCCAAATTTTGACAAAAAAATAAATTTATCTGTAAGTTCAGGTTACCAAATCTTTATCAGAATGTGACATTTTATTGTTTATGCAACCATTACTTTTCTTTGTCATAAAACCAAACATTTTAAAACCATCTGCGAGCAACATTTTTCTGAAGCCCCACAGCCAAATCCAGGCCTCAAGCTAAATGGTAAAATTCTTGAGGGTTTATTTAACAATGCCTTTCCAAATGCATGGGGTATTGGATTACAGAGCTTCAGTGTGGAATTATGAATTGGGAAGGTTGTGGAAGAAATATACCTGTCGGGACAGCCAAATCAAGTTCAGGACCTCCCAGAATGCTAACCACTAAAACCTGGTATCTTTACTTACCAGAATACAAATCTATGTTTCTGTAAGGGAATAATATGATAATGCTTACTATTATCACATTTATAATTTTATGGGCACAAGAACGGTAATGAGATATTTGGCACTGTTTATTTGCTATAAGCTTCAGAATACCAAATTGCTTAATTTCAAAAATTGTAATAAACAAAACCTAAATTATTTTAATTATTTATAAATATAGCTTTATCCTTGTAAAATCAGCCCACGGATCATATGTGATCATCACTAATTTTCACTACAAAAACAGCAAGATAAAATAAATATAAATATTATCCAAGTAACCAATATCAGAGATCAGACTTTCCTTTTTCTTGTAGAATTGTATAAAATCTATTACTAACGAAATCTGCCTTTGTCTCACATCTTTTGTGGTCAGTAGTACCACCATAAAGCATTTTTTCAGCCTGTTTATCTACCAGTTAACTAACAAGTTAACAAACGTACTTACTAAGTGTGACCACACTGCCGTATGCTACTGACACACGTTTAACAGTGCTTCTGGACTAAAATATTGAAATACTTGTACTTCAGTGCTATATCCCCATTAACCTTAACCTTTATCAGCCGTGCATCGTGGCGTATGTGCAGTCACATTGGATGTGTGTTGCGACTTCAAGTTTGGACGGCAGTCCTGCAGTACAAGGTCTTTAAATTCCGTTCCCATACGATCAAGGTAAAATTTACTCCTGATCCCCTGATTCTATAAAATGTTTCCTTAATTTGTTACAAAACAAAACTCAATGAGCGTAATTTTATAAGATTTGGTCCGTAATGAATAAAAATAGGTTATGGCAAATATCTTAAACAATACTAAATTCTTCTTGGGCTACCAGCCGTGTCAGGTTGTTGGAAGAAACACCCAACGTTTCTAGAACCATCTTCGTCCTCGGTACCGAACTTCAGCGTCTGAGGACAATGACGAAGATGGTTCTCGAAATGCTGACACGGCCGGTAGCCCGAGAAGCTTCTATGCTTATCTCTTTCACACTGATGGTTACCAACATTTAACTATTCGCTGGAATTATTTCTGTTATTGATTTCTGGAGCTGATGGACATTTAACACATTATTTTAATTACTATAAGAGTATTTAGATAAGATTCATCTATGTAAGATCTGACTGTTTACTCCACACATGCTATCATTTATAAAAAAAGTGGTGCTCGGTTAGAAAGTTCGTTATAAAAGTTACAGATATTTTCCATACTCTTTTGTACAATTTTGTTTGTCACTGTTTCTAAACAAAATATAAATTTATTTGTGGCATTGAGATAATGTTTTATATGAAATTGATAATTTGAACAACTATATTTAAATAACCTGGAAGATGAGAATCGAGGAGGCCGCGGACCGAATATGGACCGGACAGCCATAGAAGAAGAAGAATATATTTAAATAACCACGTCATGATATAGTTCTAATTAGAAACAGTCATATAAGAAAGCCGAATGTTTGGTGAGAAGGCAAGTTGAATTTAATTTCAAACAACACAGTTGTCCGACGGAAATCCAAACATTTATATTACGTTAATACGTCTCTCTCTACGAAAATACACTGCTCTTAGGAAGCTCTGTGATTTGGAAAGCAAAAATAATTCTGAACGTGAAAACTGACCATAAAGTTAAACGAACTGTAAGCCTATAAACATAGCCCCTCTGTAGTATTGTGTAGGACTGCATAATCCCAACTCCAAAAGTAATTTTTTTTTATAAAACACATTTTTACGAGTGCCGAGATGTAAACAAATCACTTGAACGTTCGGTGGATGTGGTACATAAATACTTACTTATGGCTTCAGCTACAGGAGGTGGAAGGTCTCCCCGTGAAATCTCGGTGATGTTGGCATAACCGATATAAACGCGATCCTCCTCGATATTATATTAAATTAAACATCCAAAGTTTTGACCTATTGGGCCTTTTGGTGTTTGCGTTACACACCCCATGAGCCAGGAAGGACCACCATCATATGATCATATGTCTTCAGGCACACGAGGGCCATTTCAGACATCTCTCGTTAACAGTATGCGATCCCATTACTGTCTTCTTATACGACGCTAAACATTACGTCCCATTTCCACTGAAAGCCTTCGTCTTAGTTTGCTACGCTGATCCCGTACTTTGAACGGTGGTATTCACTACTGAAACACTCAGTACAAAAAACTTAGTAAACAAAGATGCAATCCTTCATTACAAAATCTAAAATATGCTAATTTGCCAGAGAGTCTGGGCTCGCGTCATCGTTCCCTACGGTTATCCGATCAACTACGTACTGTTGCATGTAGGCCCTTTGCTGACACATATTTCATCAGTACCTTCCGTTAGCTGCAGCGCATTCTCTTCAACTGCGTTTCAAACACTTCAGTCAATTCTCCCGTGTCTGGGTACAATGTCATTAGCAAACCAAACACCACAGTTGGAGGTGTCCTTGAAGGGCGTAATACCCTGGTCAATCATAAAAACCTGATTACCGCCAACTGACTCCAAGTCCATCAATTCTCCATACCGCACAAAATTGAAGAACAGCGTCTGTATCGACCTCACATATCTGCAAGAAAACGGGTTAAGAAAATCATAAAACAATGTCACTGATCGAAACTAATAGCTTATTATTTTTTTTTTGGGGGGGGGGGGGGGTCTTCTGTTACAAATGGAACTTGAATATTCTGTTGCTGTTCTCTCCACTGTACTTACGAAAAAACCTTATTTGAGCAATTGTATTTATCAATAATTCTACTTATCACACCACATTACAGAGCGCATATGTATGGGTTTAATCCTGGCATCTGCAGTTTTTTTGACATAAATACGTCTATAAGGAAGGGTCATTTGGCAAAAATGTGTTATGAAAAAGTGTTACAAAAAAGGGAAACGAAAAAGTGTAACTTCATTGTTTTGTTACCTAGGAAACGTAATCTGTTTACTCGGTATTGTTGTTACCTATAAAACATTACATTCAGCTACCACAGACCCATCTTAAGCGTAACTAATTCAAGTTGAATAAGCAATGTCTTAATCAAACTTATCTCAATTGTAAAGCATGTATAAAGGAAATATTTAGAATAAAGCCAATATATAAACTTCCTTTCCGTATAGACGTATTTACGTCAAATTCTCCGGAACCGTGGTTCCACTATCACTTTTTCTTTTGCCGACTATGTTGTATTCACACGCAATTAAATAACTTGGATCGTCACTGATATCTCACAGGACAAAAATATGAATTTATATACCTGCGATTCGACCTACAGTGATGTACGGAGCCGAGACCTTGGTACTAATGAATGCTGACGAAATTTCCCTCAACATCTGGGAGAGGAAGATCTTGAGAAAAATATATGGACCATAAAGAACTTTATGATACGTAAAGGTTACCAGACTTGGTTACAGAAATTAAGACAGAGAATGCCAGCCAACAGACTAATTAAGAGGGAAGGAGAAAAACTGGGAGACCAAGGATAAGATGGCTGGGTGATGTGGAAGAGGATATCAGGAAGATGGGCGTTAGAGGACGGCGGAGTACAGATCAGAAAGGATAAAACTTTTTGGAAAGGCCAAGGCCCTACAAAGGGGCTGTAGTTCCAAGGCGTAGTAGTAGTGATATTCACACAAATACTAACTAAAATTTTGATCTAGTATATTATTCAACTGCCTGTTTCAAAACTTCCATGCGGAACTCACACCAACTAGAAATGGATCTCAAAATATGCAGAACATAATAATCAAGAGACAACACATAATTGTCGCTCGTCTGTAAAGCACTTGCAATCCGGCAACTCTTCGTCAAAGAGCGATAGGTAATCATCAGTATTACTGTTCGCATTATCGCTGCATTACGCATTCCGTATTGTCAAGGGTAGATGCGCGAGACAGGCAGGTATTTCTTTTATTTTTCCCACAATTTATTGTTTTATGGCATTCTGATTTAAAATTTCCATGTTTGAATCTGGCTATAGAAAAACATATTTATTTAAAAAAAAATATACTTTAGAAGGGTTTTTGTTCTGTAAAACACACCAGTTACTTAATCAAAATACGATTTGGAATATTATCTCTTAAAATGACTGTTTTGAAGGCCTAGAACCTTCAATAAGATTTTCAAAATCCCTAAGCCTCAATTAGAGACCAAACACAATGCTGAGATGAAGCAACTTCATCCTAAGAATCCGCTCTTCAGATCCTTGAATCAGATGATCGGGATGAAGTCGCTTCGCTTTTCTATATTAAGTTACAAGAACAACAAAAAAAGAAAGAAAGAGGCTGTGAGACCAAACTTTGAGGCTGCATCTGACATTTATCGTACTTATGGATATCGTGCATAGAAACGGATCGCTACAGGCTTTATGAATTTAGTTACTTTTAGCCTCGCCATATGAACCGAAGCATCTGGAAGGAAACGGGTGTCAATAGTTTTTCTTAGACCTTGTTTAATTTTAAGTTCGAGGCTTGAAGTGTTCCTCAACTGATTAACAAATGAAATAATTTTCTTCTGTAAATCATACCTTTCCTGTGATGGAGTCTGTGGCTCATACAGGCCCAAAATTGCTTCCACATCCACTGAAACGTCAGCCAATTTCTCTGGGCCGATGCCGGGGTTATCCCTCGTGTGGTTTACGAGATAGAAGGGGATGGCCTTGCCCTGCTGACTCTGCGATAGGTAGAGCAGTGGACAAACTGTTCGGATGTCTGAGATCATGGCCACTAACCCTGGCCAGTCGGCCCCATACCTCTGCAGTGCTTCGCCTGTCAGGTTCTTGGTGCCCACAACACTCGACCTCACATAATTGACAACAGTCTCTCCTGTCCAATTTTCATTCTGTGAGCGCAGTTTCGGAGGAATGTCTGCATGGACGGTGGAGCCTGTAAATACACGAAAGATTATAAAGTGAAGCTTTCACGGCGACTGAAGTTGGTCAAAGACTCTCGGGTTACAAGCCGCGTCAGGTGGCCGAACGGTGAGCAGAGAGAAGGTCGAGATGCATGACCCAAAGAGAATACTGAAATTTCCATCCGACATTTCTTAACCTAAAATCCTGCCTATTTCTTTTGTTTGGCGAATTCCGTAGCTGAGAGTTTGACTGGTCAGGGCTCTTCGCCGCGGCACATCAACAGGCAATCTAGTTTTGGATTTCGTTGTGGACCGACAGAAAATTTCTGTGGCTCCACATTTAGACACAACATCATTATCCAACCGAACAAATGTATAAGGTTCTAAAAGCTGGCAGATACTTTTATAGAAAGGCCGCGTCTCAAACTGAGCTAAACTGTTTATTAAACAGTCCTTTTCTGAATACACTAAACACCTAATTATCCATGTGTGGATTAATCTGGTTTGTGGATTAACCATGCATATCTCTGGGCATGAATTCTTTTTACAACAGACATCTGAACTATGTTTCTGACCTTTTCATGCTATTCTATCCACCAAGGGGTAGGAGGCTTAAGCCAGAAACAATTTTAACTTCAAGGCATATTTTCCCTCAAAATGTCCGCAGATATCACACAGAGGTTTTACACAAATATCTGTGATGTAAATACGGTGAATATAATTTCTGAAATCACAGTACATCTTATACACCAGTATTCGTAAATCACTATTCTTACCCATGACGAGATTTGCGTGAAGTCCGTTTGACTTCCAGGCATCAGACACATGCTCCTGAAGAAACTTGCCATCCAGGACAAGCCACTGGTGCTTGGCAAATGATCCTTCGTCATCTCTCTGAGGCAGGTCCTGCAGTGGGTGTCTCCAGGGCTCAGGCACAGCATCCAGAAGCTCTTCTGCGTCTATGTTACGTAGGCACTCCACGTCTTCCCCGCACTCTAGGGATTCGACGAACTGCGCATTGTCCCTTTCAGATTCCATCAACTCCTTACCGGGGAGTATGCTCGCACCACTGGACACCCAGGCATTTTTGAACAGTCCCTTGGACTCTCTGCAGACCATTTTATATATGTCAGTACATCGGACAGAGTAAGACTTGGAACAAGTTACAAATAATGCGGAGAAAAATAGTTTATCCTTGTCAAGCAAACTCAATCCTACATTTCTTAGATCATTTTAGTATATTAAGCATAATCTTAAATTTTACACAGCGACAGTCCGAAGAAAACCACAGACGAGGAGCAAGATTAGTACTGCAAATTCTAACAAGTGATTGTACCCCTGCCTGAAATGATGATAATTACAGCATGTTAAGTGCCAGACTCCCTACTTAATGGTACCTGGACCTTGTCGTGGTGGTGGGGCTTGAGTACCTCAGTGACCTCAAGAGCTACTTGTAGGGCCTCCCTAGCCAGATTGGTCGAGGGGGAGAGGTCAGACTAAGACAGGTAACCTGGTCCTCCAGGTTGGGGGTTGGTCGCAAGGCTAACAACCTCGCGCCGTCAAAAGGAAGACGTTTTGAAACCTCGATCAAAGCCTCGGACAGACGGACCTAACGGAGGACCGAATGGAAGAGGAGAATTGAGGAGGCCATGGACCGAATACGGACCGGAGAGCCATAGAATAAGAAGAAGATGCCAGACTAAAATATTAATTTGAGTGTTTGGTAATTCACTTTTTTTCCTGGAATCAACCCTCCTGAAGCACTTAACCTTCATTATCTGTGCATCATTGCAGGAATGAAATTCAGCCAGTTGCGCACTAAACTGTTAAGCTTGGAGCTAAATTCCTATCAGCAGTCCAATAGGATCGGACTCCTTGCAACCATACAATAACGGTCAAATAGGAAGTAAATATAAGTTGCCGATAATGCTTCATCTGATGAAATAATAAAGAGACAGCATATATTGAATTTCTGACAAATGTGGTACACCACTGAACAAGTTGAGAAAGCGATGAAGGAATGTTTCATCACCAAACAACTAATAACTAAACAAAAATGATTTCAAAAACAATTACACTCCTATCTCTTCATCAGTAAACTATGCATGATCAACAGGAGACATCAGAGTTTAAAAACATTACGGCTATGGAAATTAAACTCTCGGCTTAGAAGTCCGAGCTCGCTTTTGGCTTTTGTAGGTAGCGAGGACAAATATCGTGAAGCAAGTCATATGTATAAACGGTCAATGCAGTGCGAAGAGGGTTCCCAGGGGTTCTCTTCAGAGAAGAAAAGATTAATGTAAACATAGGATAAGGAGTGACGTTTAACTGGAGTCTTGGAATTTACATAATTTCTGCAACCATTTTTTAAGGACCCGTTAAAATATCTGACGCAATATTTGAACAACGTCTGTTCAGTCTCGTCTTGTGGTAAAATACGCGCGAGTCGTTATTATACCTAATTTTAACTGATGACACATTACATGTTACTTCCAGGGTGACAAACTCATATTATGATTCATGTATTGGTATTCTTACCTTGAGGCAGTGAGAGCAGTGACTAGTGTTCCTCCAGCTCTGTGTCCCAGGAGAGTCACTGATTTCTTATCACCGCCAAAGTGTTCAATATTCAGCTGAACCCACTTCAGCGCCATGACGATGTCTGAGAGCCCATAATTCCCCGATGTTGGCGGATGAATATCTCTCTTTATAGCTTCTGCAGCAAGGAACCCCAGAATCCCTAACCTAAAATTGGGACGCACAAAGACAACGTCTTGTGCTCTAGCCAGACTCGCACTTGCTTGCAGTGCTCCTGGCGAACCTCCGCTGAGGGACTGTGCCCCAATGAGAACTACAACGGGAAGCGGGTTGAGGTAGGGGACCTGCGGAGTGAAGACGTCAAGAGTGAGGCAGTCCTCGGCACCGTCCAACCTACTGCTGGAGTAAATTTGCCAGCACGCTGGAGTAGCATTGTGAACAGGAAGAACTCCAACCCAGCAGCTCTCTAGGCTGTCAAGAGCTTTAGCGGGTTTCCACCGCCTCTCCCTAACTGGGGAAACAGCATAGGGGATTCCTCTGAAGGCAAATGCTCCGTCCTCCACCAAACTGTAAGAGAAACACTCCGTTCTGACAGACGTTATCCTCTCGGCCTCGCCGATTCACAAATTATAAAGCGTGTAACGTAATTTTCGCTCCCATCCTGTTACTTCCTCTCTTTCATATCGAAATACACTCGTTACCACGCTGTTCCCAAACACACTCAATCCGTGTTCTTATTTTAGTAATTTTAGGATGCACACACATCTCGTCATTCCATCCATGTCATCATTTTTCCCAGTTCCCATATCTCCTGTACAACGGACTCCTGATTCACCTCATTATGGTATTTCTGTTGGCCGCGGGCAACGCTTCGGCCGGGACTCGACACCACTCTGCTTACTGACTGATGACGTAAACAAATACTGGTTTTCTTCAGTTTTCTGAATCCATATAAGGATTTATCCTTACTGAAGTAAGAAATTTCAAGTGCCACGTGATACTCACCCTTCGACAGGCCCGCAAGCCGTGTAGGCGATCTTGAAGTGCTCGTCCACGATGGGTGAAGGGGCCATCTCATTACGGGACCCAAAGGGGGCGATGGCAATAATGATGATTAACAAAATCAGAAATATCACACTGCCACCTACAACAAATTTTAAGCACAGAACTAAAGGAAAGACAACATACAAGACTGGTTTCAAGAGGTGCCCGATTCATAACGTAGCTGGGCTACTGGGTAACGTGAGGTAATATTTCGTCTCAAAGTGAAAGCTGGAGTGGTTAGCTGGGCTACTGGGTAACGTGAGGTAATCTTTCGTCTCAAAGTGAAAGGTGGAGTGGTTCCTTGAAACACGTCGCTTCTGTTTCCTTTAAAACTCTTTCCAATTAGTCATAGGCACTACCCATAAAATAATCTGTGTTAATATTTTCTCGAAATATTTGCGACCCTATTCAATTCTTACAGTATTTTTAACCCTTGACAGTGATTGAAACAAATTCCTATGCATAGAAATTAAATGTGTATAACACATGCAGGGGTCCGCAGTGGCCGTGCGGGAATTGTGCCGCTTGGTCGCTGGGACCGTGGGTTCGAATCCCACTCAAGGCATGGATGTTTGTCCGCGTTTTTCTGTGTTGTGCTGTCCTGTGTACAGGTAGAGACCTTGCAACGGGCCGATCCCTCGTCCAAGGAGTCCTACCGAATGTCTAATTGATCAAGCCAACGAAAAGTTGGGACTCGCAGTGCTCAGGCACTTGAAGAATGGGTCGTTCCCAGTATCCCCAGTACAACACATGTAATTCAGAACTTCATCTTTAAATAAATTACTTTTCGATATTCCAGTGATTTACGTTTTTTTTTCCTTTCATGTTCTACCGTTCCTTATTTTTCTGTAAATTTTTGTCTTTTGTGGTGTACATACAATTTTAAAGTTAAAAAATTAATTGCTATTACAAACATACGAAAAATATATGAAGAAAGCACTGGATTTCAGGTGGACTCTGGAATTATGTTATTTTCCTTGTTGTTGCATCATAAACACCATTATCGTTACTGTCAATATGACAACGCTCACGAAAATTAATTCCAAAAGAACTGACGTTGAAACGTACTGACCAAAACCTTAAAAATCAATCCAAAGCCTGTTTTAAAATATGTGATAACATTTAGGAAGGAGGATGACGATCTGATATAGCCGGAAGTAATTACGAGTTCTTTAATTACACCATACATAATAGCTGATGCCTTCCTCTAAACACTTTCAGTCTGTTCATAGCAATCATCGATCCAACAAACATTTCATAGATGTACGTATATTATCTTCCATTTCCATTTCAGACTCGTCCTACCAAGTTTAAACTCAGTTTTCTCCGAAATGAGTGATTATAATTTGAAGAAACTCCGCAGACACAACGTACTACTTGAGCCGTTTGTTTTCGTTTGATTTTCTACAATACCGAACAGCAGACGTTCATCATCGAAGATAACGTGAAAGCCCACAAAAGGTCAGAAGAGGTAAAGAATGGCACAAAGTTGGAACGGACAGGCAAGGCACACAATTTCAAGTCTCGTCAAGAAATTTCACAAGACAGGATCAGTTCTGGACGATTACTCGGTAAGAATACGGGATTGTACGAAGTTTATGCTGAAACGATGTCATGTTGACGTTGTGACAGCGCGTTTCTGGGTTCGAATTTCAGGGCGAGATGCCAAGGCGTGGAGGCAGGCTATAATTTAATTACAGAACTCTTTGCGAAAGATTATAGTGGTACTTATGGCGCCGGGGTGTCGGCCGAAATATTTGAAGGGGCCGCCTGCAAGCTGCAATTTGTGATCTTAAAACAAGTTCCGTGTCGTTCGGTACATTTGTACATTTCAGAAACATCTAATATCGATTTCTGCCACATGAATGCAACACAAGCTCAGGGAATAATCGTGTTCCACGTTATGTCGGCCTGAAAAGGATATTCTCTAGACGGAAGTTCTTGTTTATCGGGTCCGATCAATTCTCTTTTATGATCAATATGACAAAAGGGATTTTCTCTGCTATCTCACAGAACTAACCAAGAATCATTTTCAACTTGGGCAATGAATGGATACGGCCCCTCCAGTCCGGCTTTCCATCGGACTCTTCCTTCTTATCAGGGTCCACCTTCTCCTGCAACACAATAGAGAAATGTTTGCGCTAGTTTCAATGGTGTCTGATAACTTCACTGGGCGGAGAGACGGAGGAGGTAGCGTAGTGAAAACGAGGCAAACTCGATTAATAACATCAGTACGTTACTTCCGTATCTCTTGCACATGTTTTAATCAGTGTCATTAATCCATGACTGTTTTAAGACCTGAAGGAAACAAGAATGCAAAGAAGAATAAATTAAAATGACTAAAATGAGAAGAAGAAATTAGATGAGTTAAATGAACCACAGAATAAAAAAAAATGTGAGCGATGAACAGAGAGAGGAAGAAAAAGAAGAATAGAAAGAAACAGCCCATGTTTACATTATGACACCCAAAACTCATATTGTTCAGGACATCGTCCTTAAGAATTTAAGCCGCTCCCGACTGAACGGGTCCGAGAGTTAGAAAAGTGTTGCATTCCGAACCTCCGAGTCCAGTTTGACGCTCTCCATTCCATCCTCTCCGTTGGTCAGTTTCTCCGTTTTCTCTCCCGTGCTGTCATCCAGCGTCTCCATGGATGCCAGTCCAGCCTGCTGGCCGATCTCTGGGTCCTGCAAAAGGACATTTGTTCCGCACGGAAATTCTTTAAAGCAACAGTCATTACTACAAGTACCAACCGCTTCAACATTCAATAACTCTGTGATCTGGGGCATACGAACAGAATTTATTAAAAATTATTTATATAATCTTCAGTCTTTAAAATCTTTTCAAAGTGGAATTAATTGTTGAAAGATAATTAACCTTCTGCCTCCTTTCACACAAGATAGAATGGTAACACTTTCTACGCTCCAAACAAGTAAAATGGCTTTGAAACCAGTGTTCCTACCAACACGTTTTTCATGTACGGTAATATAAGTGAAAATAAAATTGTTAACTCTTGACAATTTAATGTTTTTCAATGTCCCTGAAATTAAATTTAATGAAAATGTTCAACTTAAAAATGACTTTCTGTCGAAACTCCTTCTGTTCTGTTCAATGCCTAATAAATGTTCTAACTGGGAATGAGGACTACTTCAAAATAAATTTGAAACCTATAATAGTTATTAACCACAAAGTATTATGATCAATAAAAGATTTCTCACTTAAAATTGATGAATATTTAGAGTACAGCAAAATGCTTGATATATTTAATGGTAGTTCACGTATTTTTAACTAAACATAACTGCACTAGTAATTTACCACTGTTGCCACATTAAATAAAGCATGTAGCTCGTATACATCACTCGATAACTTTGTGTATATATCTCTCATACACACACGCACACTTCCAGCAATAGCATTAAATTAGTTACAAAATAATAATGAGCTGTAAATACGTAAGAAATTTGAAGGTGATTGTGGCGTAGACAAGAACACATTACAGTTCATCTTTCGGTGGTGCACTGTGGCTACGTACTAACCGTTTATCGCTGACTTCCTGCACCCACAGGAACTGAATGACAGCATTCTGTACCCTAGAGGACTATCATCCTCCCACTGCGGAAAGTGACACAGCAAACCAATTGAACCGTTTAACAGACATGTTGGTGACGTATAATTCATAATTCACAACAGGGGTCTGAAAGCTGTCTTGAGCGGGGCCGATAAACAAGGCTTTTTATCACAACAGACTCCGCGGCTGGAAAATGTAGCCCATACCGCAAAGAAAACAAGGGGTGGCCTTTACAAAGATCAGATGGTTGGTCTGACTTGTCCATGGCAATCAGAAAATATAGATTCTACATCAAATAAAACACAGCACAGATTGGAAATGCGTCCTCTTCTAAATACACAAAGTTCTAAATGTGGTCTTTAGCCCACGTTATACACACAAAATGCTTCAAAATTATTTCTTCGAACAAAATTCTTCCAATTAACTATGAAAGCAACCATCCATTTGCTATCACTCTTTAAAAAACTCGCATATTTATCACATAGTTTGAAGAAGCGATACACACGTATCCATGAAAAATCATTAATCAATTATTAGGAATGCTCAGTAATTCACTTCCTCACGCAGAACAGGTTTTCATCTGCCGCTATCACAGCAATGCCATCGATAGATGGCAACACAGTCGATGACGTCATCGCTCTTCGCGGGTGATGATGGGTAATGACGTCATCATCACATATCACTAGGCACAGTGTTGCAAGAATGTGCTGTATTACATTGTCGCAACAATGGCCTCCGATCGGAGAACTGCAAGAATTACATTTGACACCATTGTATTTATATATACGAACACACGTCGTCTGGAAATCCTCTACACGTCCTTGACTGTTCGCCTGTGCATTGCGGTGTGAAAACAGCACAATAACTGCTATAGCAGGTGCAGTAGTTTTTGGTCGATGGAGAAGCTAGCGGAGCTGGCGGACGGGCCTACTCCGTGTACCTGAGGTGGCACGGTCAGTGTATTTCTTTTGTTTGGGCGTTCAGTCCGATAAGCTCCTCGGTGCAGTCATCATTATACTATCGCACAAGACACTCACTCCTAGCCTTGACCTTGAAAATTCCACCGGCCAAAAACTACTGAGCTGACTGTACGTCACAAGTTCTGAGTGTTACCGTGCTCAAGTAGCGCCAATAACATCACAGATGGACAAAACGTGTTGCCCTATTTGACGGTGATGCATGTCTCGAAAACTAAACACCAGGAAACCTTTGTTGTTCAGAATTTACTGTTTGTTTTTGAAGAACGAATTTCGTATGCTGGTGTTCGCGACGTTTTTCGGTGTGCGTGTCCCAACAAGTGAGTACTGGAATAAGACAACAAAATTTCGCGACACGTGAGAAGACTATGAAGCTTTCATAAAACAAAAGAAAAGCAGCTAAAAAAAACCAGTCGTACCAAATTCAAGCAGTGCATCGACTTCAACAATGGGATAAAGTTGAAAGATTCAAGGGTCTCGTGTGTAGTGTTGCGTCCGAAGACGGAACACTGGGTGTACAAAGACATTATATGAGTTACCTTAGTAGATCTGAGTTTGGAGCGGGGAAATACAGACACGAGGGGCAAACGGATCGCCTCCAGCAACCTCGTCTTTCTTCCGGTTTCTTCTTCCCCCCCTGTAGATCCTCCCGCCTCCGACACGTCACCGCTTTGATCCTGCGTGCAATAAACGCCACGTGTCACAAATTTAACTGTGCGTCATACAAAGTAAGTCTCACAAATGTCTTCTGTAATGAGGAGAAAAATGTTACAAAGCATTTCGGTGTAAAATGGACATTTGGCTTTGGTGATTCCACGGCCGGTGAGTTTGACACTGAAAAGTTTGTAATTGTCACACGATTTACTGTCCACAGATGACGTGAAAAACTCTGCAGAGGGAAGTCGTTTCTGGTGCGGTGCGGGGGGGATGTTTACTGTGAGGTAATCTTAAAGCTGTACCCATTAGAACACGTGAAAGCCTGTCGTCTGTTGTTCGTTCAGTGGTTGTGGAACGAATGCTTTTAGGATGGGTCGTCACTCACCGCGAAAACTTGCGCATGCGCGTATATCGAATTCTTAGCAGGGCTTTTATCCTGGTCTGCGGACTGTATGTATCTTTGCAAAGGTTAGCTTCAACGGTTTGGACGGAACCCGGAGCCATTTTGAACACTACTGGGGCTAATGTTGACACAGAAATGGTTGTTCGTATAATTATATTTATATTATTAATGAGTTGGTTCCCAGCGAGAGACATGAAACACGGATGCTGGCTGTGAAAAAATCGAACATATTTCGAAAATTAACTTGTGAAATTTCTTTGTATTTCCAATTAGAATACCGCAACTGTTTTAAGCGTATATATGACGTCATAATTCCAATTACGGCACGGCACGGCACGGATGGTAGCCCGAGAATAATTCGATCGACTACGATAATTTTAAACGCTTAATTTTGCTGCACAGAACGTATCTTGAAACAAGAAATTCAGCAGCCCTTTCACTCTTACTTAAAGGAATCTCTGAACGTAATGTCCAATATCTCTTCGGGATCGATGAAGGTGACGAACGAACGACGCTGAATGCGACAGGATGACTTAGGAAACGGAACACAGGCGCGGGCAGATAAGCTTTAAATCGTACCTTCTTCTTCGAAAAAGGGTTCGCCAGCTTCAATGTGGGCAGCCTAGGTCCCTTGGTGGGGGGCGTCTGCTCCTTTTCCTCTCCTTTGTCAGTCGGAGTCGTGTTCGTCACGACGCTGGCCGGTTCCTGCAAAAGGTCGCGCCCTTCCTCAACATCCAGCTCGCCTTCCTGCGAACAGAGGTGACGACACGCCTAACATTAAATTTACAGTTTTATATCTCCTCAAGCGCCGAAGATATAAACCTCTCAAAGGATCTATTGAGTAATCGTTCGCGTATCTGAAACAGATCAACCAAGTTAACGATCAACTGCTCGGAATTTAGAAATCAAGGCGAAAATGGGTTTGTGTCTCAGAATACACAGTCCGTCTCTTTACAGGAGGTTGGCGACACTTTATGAACAGGATCCTTCCATCCTTTCCTTTTCTCGGACTGGGCCCTGTTCATATACGTTCTTGGCAGATTATCCAGAAGTGGTTTGCCATTGCCTTCTTCTGTGTGTGAATGGAGTAATTGTTGGGATGCCACGGAGGAAAACTCCGTGTTGCCTAGACCACGGCCTTGCCCAACACAAGTTATAAATTCTGGCACCGCCGGGCATCGAACCCGAGACCCCAGGATTACGAGGCCAACGTTCTAACCGCTAGACCACCGTGGCTATACACAGGGAATTACGAACTAACAAAGTAATTAGCTATCATCGCAACTAATTAACCAATCAAATGACCAGAAAAACTACTGAAAATATATCTTGTCAACTAACCAACTGATTAACACACGTAAAGAATTAAACTGAGTTTTCTCAACGAAACATTTCTCAAAATGCGAAAAATAATAAGCCACTGGGATATTAAGATTGAATTGATTAGTCCGTGCAGGGCTCAATCCAATGACTCAAAACTGTGCCACTTTTGAGTCATTGAAAATTACAAACGTTAATGCCATTTTTTAAGATACTGCCCTATCTCACAGTTTTGAAGCAGAGGACAGGACAGGTGTAGGTCGACTATCTATTACCACGATCGCATAATTTTACAACAGTGGATCTCCAATTTTCCCTATCCGATATGGAGTGGGAGTCATGAGTTGTTTTGCGAACTGACAGGAACTGCGCATGTCGACTTCGCCGCACTGTTATGTTAGCCCGCATTACACGTACGTCGGAGAAATTGTCGATAAAGCACGGCGCTTCAGCTTACAATTTCTCAGAACAGTTTCGTCAGGATTTTCCACACTGTTCCCGCGTGCATTGGAATGGAATTTTTTTTATTTATATTTCCTTCTGCCTTTCTTTCTTATCTCCTTTTCTTCTATTCTCTTTCATTTGCTTTCTTCTTTCCGTATATCGGCAACGACCATGACGTGCGTGTTGGAACTAAAGGCATTTAGGTACGTCTGTACGCGTAGTGAGTCTGTACATTACAGAACGTTTGAATCTACCACCGCATTCAAAGGCCTTAAGGTTACTTGTTGAACGTAGGCTATGTATTACCATACGCTCTTCGCACAGTGCATACAATTAACCAGTATTATCGTGCATGTGCGTCTGTCTGCAAATTTTATTTCTGAATTTATTGATTGTGTTTGCTGGTCTGGTGACTTGATTTTGGTACACATGGACCCAGATTCAAGTATACGTTACAAAGTTCAAAGGAAACATTAAAAATGTCTTCTCGTTCAAAAATGATATGACAAAGCATACGGATCTCATTAAGATCCACAAAAAATGTGTGAAATATTTTTTCATATTGTGTATATACGTAAGGTAATTCGAGGGAAACATGATGCAGTTTGAGTTGGGAAATTCTTGGGACGATTTCTGCAACAGAAGTTTGCACCAAGTTGAAGACAAAAAAGACGAATATATTTTCATATCTGATCAAAATCAGAAAACTATGGTTTCTCAGAAATTTGCCCTATACCGATGCTTACAGTCTTGAATTTTTTAAAAATGAGAAGAGACTTGGAATGTGTACCAGTACATATATTTATAAGCAATGCTTATTTTATTTTCAGAGGAGAGTCTAAACCAGTGGTATTCAAGCATTTTTTGTTCGCGTACCCCCAGATATAATTTCTCTTCAACTTTGTACCCCCAAAGTTGTTGGTGTATAATTCAAGTTATACATAGTATGTAATCTACATCTAAAATAAATTGAATAAATTACATTACTGATTATTCAATGTTTATCATAAAATAATATATATTTTTTTTAAATTTCACGTACTCCCTAAGATGTCTTCGCGTACCCCCAGATATAATTTCTCTTCAACTTTGTACCCCCAAAGTTGTTGGTGTATAATTCAAGTTATACATAGTATGTAATCTACATCTAAAATAAATTGAATAAATTACATTACTGATTATTCAATGTTTATCATAAAATAATATATATTTTTTTTAAATTTCACGTACTCCCTAAGATGTCTTCGCGTACCCCCAGATATAATTTCTCTTCAACTTTGTACCCCCAAAGTTGTTGGTGTATAATTCAAGTTATACATAGTATGTAATCTACATCTAAAATAAATTGAATAAATTACATTACTGATTATTCAATGTTTATCATAAAATAATATATATTTTTTTTAAATTTCACGTACTCCCTAAGATGTCTTCGCGTACCCCCAGATATAATTTCTCTTCAACTTTGTACCCCCAAAGTTGTTGGTGTATAATTCAAGTTATACATAGTATGTAATCTACATCTAAAATAAATTGAATAAATTACATTACTGATTATTCAATGTTTATCATAAAATAATATATATTTTTTTTAAATTTCACGTACTCCCTAAGATGTCTTCGCGTACCCCCAGATATAATTTCTCTTCAACTTTGTACCCCCAAAGTTGTTGGTGTATAATTCAAGTTATACATAGTATGTAATCTACATCTAAAATAAATTGAATAAATTACATTACTGATTATTCAATGTTTATCATAAAATAATATATATTTTTTTTAAATTTCACGTACTCCCTAAGATGTCTTCGCGTACCCCCAGATATAATTTCTCTTCAACTTTGTACCCCCAAAGTTGTTGGTGTATAATTCAAGTTATACATAGTATGTAATCTACATCTAAAATAAATTGAATAAATTACATTACTGATTATTCAATGTTTATCATAAAATAATATATATTTTTTTTAAATTTCACGTACTCCCTAAGATGTCTTCGCGTACCCCCAGATATAATTTCTCTTCAACTTTGTACCCCCAAAGTTGTTGGTGTATAATTCAAGTTATACATAGTATGTAATCTACATCTAAAATAAATTGAATAAATTACATTACTGATTATTCAATGTTTATCATAAAATAATATATATTTTTTTTAAATTTCACGTACTCCCTAAGATGTCTTCGCGTACCCCCAGATATAATTTCTCTTCAACTTTGTACCCCCAAAGTTGTTGGTGTATAATTCAAGTTATACATAGTATGTAATCTACATCTAAAATAAATTGAATAAATTACATTACTGATTATTCAATGTTTATCATAAAATAATATATATTTTTTTTAAATTTCACGTACTCCCTAAGATGTCTTCGCGTACCCCCAGATATAATTTCTCTTCAACTTTGTACCCCCAAAGTTGTTGGTGTATAATTCAAGTTATACATAGTATGTAATCTACATCTAAAATAAATTGAATAAATTACATTACTGATTATTCAATGTTTATCATAAAATAATATATATTTTTTTTAAATTTCACGTACTCCCTAAGATGTCTTCGTGTCCCCCCGGGGGTACGCGTACCCCAGGTTGAATACCACTGGTCTAAACGAAAGCTGGGAATCAGACAAGGACAGGGCGGTTAATAAATATAAATAATAAGAAAGTGGCTACATGAATAACGCACCACACAACTAGACCGAGAATTTATTCACCCCAATAAAGTTACAATGAGACCATTCTTCATCATTCGTCTCTTGGCCGGGATAATAGGGGTTAATGTGAGGACAAATTTTGGAGTGTGAGGGGCGACTGAAGCCCAGGATTACAGACGGTTTTGAGTGTACCAGCAACTATTCCGAGGACGAGGGCCGTTGTCCATGTGAAGTTCATTACCAATCTAAGGCAATTTACCCTAGACCATTGGTATTCAACCTGAGGTACACGTACCCCCGGGGGTACGCGAAGACATCTGTGGGGGTACGTGAAATTTAAAAAAATATATTATTTTATGATAAACACTGAATAATCAGTAATGTAATTTATTTAATTTATTTTAGATGTAGATTATATACTATATATAACTTGAATTATACACCAACAACTTTGGGGGTACAGAGTTGAAGAGAAATTATATTTGGGGGTACGCGAACAAAAAAGGTTGAATACCACTGCCCTAGACCTTGGTAGAACAAGTTAGGAATTATACACACAGTGTAACAGTTCCGACGGGTTCTTCAGAACTTGGTATTTGATCTTTGCGAAGATGATATTGGTGAAGTTTTTCAACGGTCTGTACCCCTCTGGAGGTACTTGATACGTCCTCATAAAATGCATCAAATCAATTAAAAATGGCCAGATCAATGCGTCTGTATCTCAAGAATTATTAAATGTAGGTGCCCTTGTTAATAAAATTTGTTAATGAAGGTCCGCGTACATTTTATTTGGGTACGTAGCGATCCAGCGTAACTCCTAATGTACATGAAGCTCAAATCCAACGTTACCACTCTTTCATAATCAACTTAAGCTAGAAAATTTGTTACCTGATGCAGATGTTCATGACAAAACCATTTATTGTGTGACCTGTTACTGAGAAAATCGATACAGTTCGATTTTGATCAAAATAAAACTGGGGCACATAAATTTTGTTCTGGGCCTTCGTCAACGAATTTAATGGGAATCTTTTAGTAAATTTCTGCACTGGAACTTACGCATTGTGGGGCAAATATGACATCTCAAGTATATAATTCGCACAAAGAAGTAAAACAGTCTCGATGTTTAATTGCTGTTATCGATGTGTGTAGATATTTTTCACTGCGAGATAACTTGTCTTAGGAGCGTTGTCGGTGCCCCGTATTGATTTACCAGTAGTTCGACGCACATCCCAGAGAGTGACTTGGCTGGGGTGACATGTGGTTGAAACAGTTAAAATTTTACTGCCGTCAGCGTTGTTAAGAATACCAGCATCTTGTTACTTTAAG